CGAAGGAGGTAATGGACATCATGAACTCGGTCAAGCCCAGACATCCGCTATCCCTGGTCCAGAGCCAGACCAGAGCCGAAGCTAGCTCTCAGCCCAATAAGGAGAAAGAGGAGAAGAAGCAGCGCGTGATTGATGGGCGAAAAGCTGCACTCAAGTTCCTGGACTCAATGGAGAAGTGCATGGGAGAAATGGGAATTTGTACAATGTGCGCGAACCTGGCCCACGACGGCGACTGCAAGAATAATGAGGAGGCTGCTGGAAACGAGAAGGCGATGAAGAAGATCCGCGAGCTTCTCAGCAGCGATCACGTTTCCTCGGATGAAGAAATGGGGGATGCTGAAGAACCGTCATCATCGACATCCAAGGAACGCAAGAGAGGGGGACAGAAGGGGAAAGAAATAAGAGAAATGTATAGCTATACCATCAATTTGGTGGAGATGGCTGACACGGCTGAAGGGGGAGAGCTGCGTGGATCTCACCCACAATCCGTGCGGGGATCACAGGACGTTCAAGGCGGCGCTGGAGCGGGGATGTGACACTATTCCATGCTACATCCCGAAGTTTGGCGACGTACATATGCCATGGGCGTATACGTCTATGGTAGATCCCAGGTTCTTCCCCAAGGGTGCCGTTCTGGAGCAAGTCGATGTGATACAGCTTGGTAAGAGTATCAATTTCTGCATCGCTCCCTTCGACGGCGCTCCGCACTGCAAGATCGGCGACGAACGCTCAGTGTTTGCATCGAGAGATCAAGCAAATCAGCTATCTCATGATCTATGCAGAGTCCTTCGACACAAGATCGGCAATTGCCGAGGAAGTGCTTTCAAGTGTGATGAAGGTGGATGGGTTGACATTGACGCAATCATCAACGACCGGAATAACGACATATTTCCACCGACGACATCGAAAGCAAAACGATACATGGGCATCATGGAAGTGATCAAGTGGCAGGAATCTGGACACAAGAAGTCAAGGTTCCAGGTCCTAGCAGCAAGGTTCCCAAGCATTATGAACTCGAACGACATGAAGGCCGCCAAAGAGGAGTTGAACTACATTGGCCTGGATCGGGGTGATCTCGAAAGAATATTCAACAGATGCGATGGACAGGCCTTGGTGCATCCGAGTCACAACTGGTCACAGTGATTTTGGCTTCATGAGCTCATCCGCATTGGCAAATAGGTACTCTGCAAGGATGGGTGATACTCTCGGAGGAGCATTCCATGTGACATGTGGAGAACCTGCCAAGCATTGTACGCTGTGGGCTAGTCCCCGGCGGAATCGATGGCGGAAACAGGCTGGCATTGCACTTCGGGGCATTTGCTCCATGGGATGAGATGAACGTAGCAACGAAGACGACGCTACGAAATTTGAGGACTGGAGATCCACTTGCAATCATCTACATTCCCAGTGCGACCCTCGCGCGATACGGAGCTGGAGTCGCGTTCAACGGAACGTTCATGGTCTTTGACGTGATCCCGTTCTATGAGGTCAAATCCATTTGGATTGGCAAGAGCAACGGAGGGAAATGCCTGGAGCACGAGAGCACCAAGCGGGCGTACTCAAAATGTGTTGAGAATGAGATCTGCCCGGGATTCGTTGGTTCTTCCCAGGAGTCGGCCACGATGTTCCTTCAGAACGTCGCAAAGATCATCGAGGGAATGCCTGAAACAGAGGCGGGTGCCGACAATCTGCACTACGTTCAAGGCATGGTGGATCGTGCCTGCGAACTGTTTCGGGAAAACAAACTAGAAGACTTTGAGACTCTGACCAACGAGATCAGGGACGAGATCAGCAAGACCATCATCCTGAACGACGAGACATGGGAGGGGCTACGATGCCGAATTTGTCCGTCATGTGCAACCGCGATTCCCACGTGCTTCTGTGTGTGTCTGGAATGCGGGGCGCAATTAATCTCTACCGGGAGATTCTGCATCCACATTGGTTCCGATGACGAGGGGGACGACCATAAGCCCAATGTGTCAGGTGACGCCAGACGAGCGCAAGATGAGGCTAACGACAACGCGGCGGAGCAGGAAAAGGATGATGAGACGGAAAATGATTCCGAGGACGACGACATGGACACGCAAGGATACACATCTGGTTACATGTCCGAAGAAGAAGACGGTGGTTGGGAGTACCGCGACAATGACATGGCATCACGGGATTTTGTCAATTCCCACCAGCGGATGGCGATCTGCATGGATGAGCCACGGGAGGCTCAATACATGGCGGGATTCATCGCACTGCAGATGTCAAAGATGTGGGGGATGTTCGAGGGTGGGGAAAAGAGAACGATCGATGCCGCTCTCGAAGGGAAGCACGCTTGCCCATACCGCAACGACTTCGGGAAGTACCCCAACATGACAGAGATTGATCAGGAAGGGATCCTTTTGCCATCAACGGTACTGAAGATTTCCCAATCTCAGAGCGTTCGAGAAAGGACCTTCCGGTCGGCTGAGGAGCGCAACGAACACATCCGTTATTTGGTGTACAAGCGCGAGGGGCAAAACATATTCTACAAGCTGTGGATTGCAGCGAAGATCCTCGACATCACCAAAGACGAAATGAAGCTCCTGGTCAAGGATCGAATACACCCGGTGGGTGATATTGTTTACAGATGCTTCTCCCTGGCTTTCAACTGCAAATATATATCATTCGTAAGGGAAGGCTTGAACCTTGGCAGATATGGTTATTCGGTCAACGTGAGCGCCATAATCGCGGCCACTGACTGGAACAAATGCGACGCACCCCTGCTAGATTGGTGTCTCCGAAAGGGACATTGGCTACCAGAGGACCATCACAGGATATGCGTCAGGGCGCGAGAAGCCCAAAATAATTTGGACGAAGAGTTCCGTCGGCGCACCAATAGGCTGTCCATTGGGGACAGATATGCGTGATGCAGGTGTGGATAATCATTGCTTTTGCGGTATGGTGCATTCATCAGCAGCAATACATGAAATTCACTCCGATGTTGATTGCAGCATGGTGTGGGCTAGTCCCCATTCATCGCTTGCGTCTCATCGACTTAGCTATGATGGAACATGTCTTTAACATGATATGATTTCATGTGTCCAAGGAGAATGGATGTGTATATATTTACATATTCCGACGACTATGACATTCCGGATATTCATGGATGTGCACTATTACCTCATGGATGATTTCTTTTCCTTATATTATTCGTGGTATCTGGAATGGCAATTTTTGCATATGTTGCTCGCCAAATCTTCTTTGCCAGTGGTATTCAGATGGCATATGACCGTGCGCTGCTATGGACTTCTATGGCCAACCCATTTCTGTGGATGACGACGGCGCGATGCGCGATGTGCAAATGCGGCAGTCGGGATTTCAAGTGGTTGCGTATTGGCACGAGACAGAATGTCTCTTGCATCTGAGTATAGGAATGTGCTACGATTTGCGGATGCATGTTTCTGTCTTGATCGGACCTGGCAAGTTTCACAATGAACGGACGGTGTAGCAATAGTGAATGAAAGAGTGTTCGACACAGTTTCGTAGTCGGAGCCGTGGCCATTGGAACGTGTTGTGATGTTTGGACCGCATGATGAACGATGCGACCCAAATAGGGGATGTTAAAACCCTCCTGGCCCCGTACCTAAATTGGGAAGCTGTTCTGAGGTCTGTGTTGGTGTTGGTTACAATGTTCCATTGACTGGCATTTGGCTCAAGTCACAAGTAGGGCTCAAGGTCTTGCGTGAACTACGTTTGCACGTGATCGACCATAGAGAGTGGAAAATACTTCATTCGCGTTGCAGCTGCCAGGGTCACCATCGTGGTTATTGGTCCATATCCCTTACAACAGTTTACACGGGTTCGGCTATAACGGTTTGACCGTATACACCTTTCTACGTGGTTGGGTGCACAGCTGGAGGGTTCGTGGACAGCGTCCCACGGGACGTCACCTTGCCGTCTCTTGACACTATCTATCTATATCTGTTTGTCTGCCTGTCTGTCTGTCTATCTATCTATCTATTTATTTATCTATATCTGTTTGTCTGCCTGTCTGTCTGTCTATCTATTTACCTATCTATATCTGTTTGTCTGCCTGTCTGTCTGTCTATCTATTTATCTATCTATATCTGTTTGTCTGCCTGTTTGTCTGTCTATCTATCTATCTCTCTATATCTGTTTGTCTGCCTGTCTGTCTGTCTATCTATTTATCTATCTATATCTGTCTGTCTGCCTGTCTGTCTGTCTATCTGTCTATCTATCTATATCTGTCTGTATCTATCTATCTATCTATCTATATCTGTCTGTCTGCCTGTCTGTTTATCTATCTATATCTGTTTGTCTGCCTGTCTGTCTGTCTATCTATCTATCTCTCTATATCTGTTTGTCTGCCTGTCTGTCTGTCTATCTATTTATCTATCTATATCTGTTTGTCTGCCTGTCTGTCTGTCTATCTATCTATCTCTCTATATCTGTTTGTCTGCCTGTCTGTCTGTCTATCTATTTATCTATCTATATCTGTCTGTCTGCCTGTCTGTCTGTCTATCTGTCTATCTATCTATATCTGTCTGTCTGCCTGTCTGTCTATCTATCTATCTATCTATATCTGTCTGTCTGTCTGTCTGTCTATCTATTTATCTATCTATCTATCTATGTCTGTCTGCCTGTCTGTCTGTCTATCTATCTATCTATCTATATCTGTCTGCCTGTCTGTCTGTCTATCTATCTATCTATATCTGCCTGTCTGCCTGTCTGTCTATCTATCTATCTCTATATCTGTCTGTCTGCCTGTCTGTCTGTCTGTCTATCTATTTATCTATCTATCTATGTCTGCCTGCCTGTCTGTCTATCTATCTATCTATATCTGTCTGTCTGCCTGTCTGTCTGTCTGTCTATCTATCTATCTATATCTGTCTGTCTGCCTGTCTGTCTGTCTATCTATCTATCTATATCTGTCTGTCTGCCTGTCTGTCTGTCTATCTATATATATATATATCCGTAGTTAGGCATGTTCTGACAAGATCCAGCTTCAGGTGCAGCGACCTGGAAGCCTGCGACAGGCACGGCTGAGATCTCAGAGCCTGGCACCTTGCACGTGCATGCGCAGGTCGCGCTGGACTGGACCTGCTGGGTGCCTTGGCAATTTCGATTTCGGGGCATGGCTGACGTCACCGATGTCACCGATGGCACGGATGGCACGGATGGCTGAAAGATGTTGACTGTCGAATGGCTGCCAGGGAGAATGACGAGTTCGTTAGTCCCGCCCGGGGCCTTGCCAAGGCGATGGGGCTGACGGTCATGGACCTCTATTGGGGAGGGCAGGGTGACGAGTACCCGCTGCCCGCTGGAATGTCAGGGAGGCAAAATGAGCCACAGCATTGATTCACCCGCCCTTCTGGTTTTGCGTAGGCTCTACGAGATTTTGATTTGGCTCAAGTGGTGGATAAGATGGGCTATTTGTTTGGCTGCGTCTGAGGTTAATTGCGGATGAGGTGGCATCGGGGGTCTTTAAGGAGCTGGACTATCACAACGAGGCCGCGAACGCGGAGATCTTCCTGAAGAAGCATCGGTTCCTTCCCTTCATCACGGCCCCCCACTGGGTGCCTGAGCTCACCGGGCCCAAGGGCACTGCTCGTGTGCTGCGCCTCGGACACACTGCAAATGGCACGGGGACATCTGAAGCGAAAGCTGAGGACTCAAGAGTGGATTCATGGCCGGAAGCTGCAGGAGATCGAGAGCGAGGAGGAGCGGATGAGGATGGTGGCTCTTCGGATGCAACTGGCGCAGTTCAGTTTGTGCAAAACGCCTCGACGACCTCGACTTGTTTGGCCCTTTGGCCCCAGGACATGGCAGTGGAGGCTGGAGTGAGCAGTCACGAGGGGTAATGCGGAGAGAGATTCGCGAATCGGATGGGTGACATTGCATCTGACACTGTCGGGCTGCGGAGCGAGCCGAAGAGGCATTCCCAATGATCAATTCTTGAGAAGAAAAGAAGAGAAGAAAAGGAGGCATCGAGGCATCGATCGAGATCTCGCGAGAGTTCGTGAGGCCTGCGTGTCCTCGCTGCTCTTCACGGGCTTCGTGCACGCGGACCCCCACGCGGGGAACCTGATCCTCACGGAGGACGGGCGCCTCGCCTTCCTGGACTTCGGGCTGATGGGCACCGTGGAGCCCCACATCATGGAGGGCTTCTCCGCGCCTCAGGAAAACAGTTGAGGAACACCCAGGAATGCCGAATGCCGAATGCCGAAGAATGCCGAAGAATGCCGAATGCCTCAATTCGCAGTTCAACTCATGGGGTTCTGAGCAAAGGCTTAAAGGGAAGCGGCCAAGGCAGGGATACAGCACCTCCTGGCCGAGCGCTGGCTTCCGCTCGCCAAGGTCATGCAAGGCATCCTTGAGCCGTGCACATGCACTTTTTACTTCCGGAGTAAATTGCGTAACTACGAAGTGAGATAGACTTGGAGCCTCTCAAGTCGCAAGCGTTGAAGAGACGTGGGTTTGGCCGCAGATGTGGGCTTTATGGCCATCGGTGAAGGGGGCGGCTTCATGAAAGTAGTGGATCCGACGGCGCGAGTTTTTGAGTACACTTCGCGACTTGGAAGCAACAGCAAGTTGGCGCAGTCCCGCGTTTTTCCAATCAAGTTTCGGGCACTCAGGTGCCCGGACAAGGAGTTTGCTGCGGCCCTCGAGGAGCAAATGAAGACTGAGGATGGCGGGCTCAGCCGCTTTGGGGCGCTGGCCACAGCGCTGACCAAACTGTCACAGAATTATCACATGCTGATGCCTGGCTACATCATCCTCTTCATCCGGACCTTCTTGACTCTGGAGGGTATTGCTGGTGTTGTGAGCCCCGGCGCAGTTTGCCCATTTGCATTTTTTCAGTTGCGCATTTATGGGCATGCTGGAACCTCTAAGGAGACCCGACTTCAACATCTACGAGGCTTCGCTGCCGTACGCCATGCAGCGGGCCCTCTCCCCGCAGACCGAGGCCGATCGAGAGCGACATTGTTGGGTCGGGAGGGTCGGAGGGTCGGGAGGGTCGGGAGGGTCGGGAGGGTCGGGAGTGGGATGAACCGCAGGCTGCCGTTGCGGCCCTGCGGGAGAACTTTGTCACGGAGGAGGGCGCTCCGAAGTGGGACACCTTGGATTCTTTGCTCGCGCAGGCGGACCAGGCAGACCAGGCAGAAGCCACAGCCGAAGCGGCCGAAGCGGCCCCACGCGCCGCGTCCGCATCTTCCACGGCGGCTTCAACCGATTCAGCGGCTTCCACGTCTTCGGGGACGGCGGCGTCGGCGTCCTACGGTGCGGTGCTGCAGCGTGTGCTGGGCTCGCCCGAAGGCTTCGCCCTGCGTCGGATCTTCGTGGACCTGGACGCGCGGCAGTTGCTGCACGGCCTCAACGGGCGCCGTGGCACGCGGCTCCGCACCTTGGCCGCGGCCGCCCTGGGCCAGCGCCTCTCGGAGCTCAGCTGGAGGCCTAGGCCTCTGAGGCCTCTGAGGCGCCTGCGCCGTCTCCGGGCCTTCCGGGCCCGGCCCTCAGGGCCCGTGGGCTTCGAAGCCCGGCAGCGCGAGCGCAGGCACAAATCCCTCCGGGTCATCGGTGGCTTGCAGCTTCAACGCTTCAAAGGCCACCACGGAGTTTTGGCCTTGCTGGCCATGCTGGGTATCACCTTCAGAGTCTATTTCTGGGCCTTGGTTAAGGCGCTGCGATTTTCGGCCGGCAAAAGATTTTCCACAGCTCGGCCTCATTGATCTTGCTCAGTCCAATGAGTCAGACTGACGACTGTACGATTGCTTGGGGGCTGTAAACAGAGTCTGCCCTTTGATCAAGTGGACCTGTTTTTGCATGAGCAACGAATCTCAAGCGCTGATTTCTGGTCCTCGAGCCTGGGTGAAACTCGCTCGAAGCGACCATCCCCAATGGGAATTGGCCTTCGGAGATGTGGCCGAGAGTTACCTTGGGAGAACCAAAAGGGTGAGGCGTACAGAATCGTGCATCGTGCAGAATCCGAACAATGCATAGACCTGCAATGTGAGCAGCCTGTTTCGCCGCACCTAGCCCCAGGCAACCGCAGACCGCATTGTGGTAAGAGAGCCTTTGGAGACCTGGAGGCTCGTCACGAGGTGCAAAGCGCAGCCATGGCATCCGAACCTCAGGGAAAGTCTGAAGGAAAGCCGAGCCCTCGACCCCTCGGCAGCTTCCAGGCTGTGTCCAATACGAAGCATTCCGAAACATGCCAAATGCAGCTCTTGTCTCCGTGACACTTGCAGCTGCGCGTCAGCTCACTGGCTCCTCACATGTGCGCGGCGCTAGCTTCTCAGGGAATGGAATCGGCAGCGGCGAACGCGCGAGGAGCAGGAGAGGCGTGGTCAATCCATCGGCCGTTGACCGCCCACTTTTGGGCGGTATAGGTTTTGAGTTTTGTGTCAAGGGGGCAACAACCTTAAGCCCAGTGAACAACCACACGACCACCCTGATCTAACCCTAGAGCCACCCATATCCACCTTAAGCTTATCTTACGTCCTGACGTAATCAACCACGCGACCACCAACCCCAAACCCACCTTGCACCTTACCTTGCTTTACACCTACTCATCCCACTGTAACAACCACCCTGAACACGCCCTAACTCAGCCCTAGCCCCAAGCCAACCCAAAACCAGCACTAAATCGTAAACCCACCCTACGCCCACTCCAAACCAGAGCTATTCCTACCCCCACCCTAAGCCTTCCCCAAACTCTCACCCTGAATCTACTGCCCGACGCCGCAAAAGCCCTTAAATTATTTGTAGACCTACTTTGAACAAACCAACTCTAGACCTACTCTGGGCCCAGCCCAAGCCAAAGCCGAAACCGTGTGGCCCAACAGGCGCTGGCGCCGGTGGATGTCGGGTCCTCAGACGCTCGAGGGAGGTTTCGGGCCGGGAGATCTCAGGAAGTCCCGAGGTGAAGGCGCGCTGCAAGGCCCAAGGGCTCTAGGGGCTCTAGGCACTGCGGCTTTTCAACTCGATACTCGATCCCGTCGCATCCGCTGACGGCTCAAACCTAACCTCAGAGCTGGCGCGGGCGCCGAAGGGCAGGAGCCAACTGCTTCGTGCGAGCGAGTTGCTTGCGAGAGATGCGCTCGTCAGGATGGCCTTTGCCTGCTATGCGCGGGTGGCCAGGTGCCGAGCGGCCCACCTCTCCCTGCTCGGTGCCCCAGAGGACAAGTTTGCCGCTTTCCACCGGTTTCCACCGGTTTCCACCGGTTTCCACCGGTTTCCACCTGTTTCCACCTGTTTCTGGTTTTTCTGATTCCTTGCTGAGCACCAGCAAGTAATCATTTTTGGGATTCGGGAAGATGAGCACCCACTTAGGTCCGGATTCCTGGAACCAAGGTAAGGTCAGCGCTTAAAGACTGAACTGCATTTCGCCGCTTGTGCAAGCTCGATACTGGTTTGATTACTGGCTTGGCGAGCACTATGTTGAGGAGCCGGTTTTTGCCCAACCCCTTGAACATGGTTCATAGTTTCTCATCCCCCATTGGAGAGGTATTTCTTACTTCCCAAGTGTCTGGGCTTTATACTTTCAGGGAAGACAATTTCAGAGATCTCACGGCCGTGTTTCCGATGGCATCTTCTTGGTTTGCCGAAAGACTAAGTAACCAAAAAAGGAAACACACCAAGTTTAGCCCTCCTTCCAACAATCCCAGTGAATTTCTGAATAGGCTGGCAGATCCTCTTGAATAGGCCCTGTCCGTCTTTGGAAAAAGGGAAACTTCATTCAGACAACCTTTTCACTGTGGCCTTCCCTAGCCTTGCTGCGAGGGAATGAACGACGTAACGAGCCGGGGATTCCTAAGGGACACCAGATGGATGGCTCATGGGGGTCATTCCATTTCTTGTTCGATCGAACCAGAAGGTCTACCATGGGTCCTTGGACTGGCCTTCAAGGCTCTCCCAAAACGGGCCATGAATCTTTTGATTGGCTTCAAAGTTGTTTAGTGGATTCCGCCCTATGAGTTCGGCATTTGTCAAATTAAGGGGGCGCCTTCAGATGGTTTTCCTTGTCCGAGGTGGTCGCGGCAGGTGAACTTGGCCCTGGACCGCCGGGGTCTCGCCTCGGCGCGGGTGCTCTCGGCCGGGCGCCCGGTGCAGACATCACTCGAACGGAGTCGGTCGAGTCGGAGCCGAAACCGTTTGAGGAGAGGCGGCCGGCGCTGTGCTTCGCGGAGCAGCGCCTGCCGGGCGTCGCAGGCACTCTCTGAACGCACCTTGAGCTGGCAGTTGCGTCGATGTGCGATGCAGGCATGCTGGTCTCTGAGCTGGCCGCCCAGTCCAGTGAGCCCAAACCTCATCCGAGATGCCACTTTCCTCTTTTCGGACTCATCTTGCGTCCCGGTGTGAAAGCTTCAAGGTGTGAAGCGACGGAAATGCTGGACAGCCTTTCTGACCTGGCCGGCCAGAAACCTGCAAGCACCGAATGTGCCGGCACACTGGTAGGTTGTGCTGATTGATCTGCTCGGCGTCTCAAGCAGATGGGTTTGCGCCTCATTACTTGGTGGTGCGATCGCTCTCCCTTGAGCACAGCAGGTATGTACATTTCAACATGTTTGAACCTGAGTCTCTGCAAGACGTGGAATGATGCGGACTTTGCACTTGGCACGTGATTGACCAAGGCACGCACAATATGCGGCCAAGACTGGGAAAGGGTGGAAACCGTCTGAGCTTCAGCCACGAGCGGCTTTTGCTTAGCCGGTTCTGGCGTATCGGCAAAATGGCGCAGCACGTTGCGTGCGACTCGGGGCCGATGGGGCCACTTGGGCAGGCGCTGTGAGCTGGAGCCTGAGCGAGACCGGAGGTTTGGGCGCTTGGACTTCGTTCTTGGCTCGGGAAATTGCACAGAGCCCTTCAGCCTGCCTCAACCCTCAGAGAGTGTAAGGTGTTCGAATTTCCGAATTCTGAAACCTAGAAAAAAAGAAAAGACGAGCAGACGACAAAGAACTCAAAGAACTCAAAGAACTCGGGCACTTGCTCAATGGGCGAAGCCGATGGATCCCTTCCAGGACGCCCAGGACCCGTGGTCCGGCAAGGCGCTAGGCGAGGCAACGAAGCCTCGGGGCTTCGATGACTTCTGGACAGAGCAGGAAGCGGTCCAGCGAGGCGAGAAGGAGCCGGACGCGCATCTCAAGGAGAACGAAGCTGAAAGAGGCAAAGGAGCCAAAAGCAAAGGAGGCAAGGGAGGCACAGGAGGCAAAGGCAGAGGCAGACGAAGATACAATGTGGTTGAACGGCCGCCTCGGGCGCGGCCCACCCACTTTGTGGCGATTCGGCTCTTCTCTCGCTTGTGGCCTGGCAAGCAGGTCGTGCGGGATGCTTTGTCACTGACCACTGAGCTTGGCGTTTTGCCGAGGATTCGCCGCACAGTACAGCAGATGCAACAGTGGTTCATTGCCAAGAACCCGCTCTTTGAGCACTGCCTGGTTCCGGTGAGGCAGTTTGTGGGGGGGATTGGACATCGGGCATGAGAGGAAGAGCACAACAGAGGCGCTTGCACTCCTCGCTTCTGCTGACGGCCTGGGCCGCATCAGTTCCTTGCTGACATCGCGATGTGCGCGTTCGCTCTGAGGCCATCCCCCCGGAGCGCCGGGGCGAGGCCCAAGAGGCGTGTGCCGCGTTATCGCGTTCACGCCGCACGGTGTCCTTCGTCGTTCGCTCCGATTCGATCTCCGGATCCCCAGGCGTGTCACGAAGCCGGGGAGGAGATCCGCGACTTGTTGGGCGACCAAGCGGTAAAGATCATCGCCAGCGGCATCAGCTGCTTCAACGGCCAGATCCTCTTCACCCGACTCCGCACAGAGCCCCACGACATGCTTCAGGCTTGCATCAAAGTACGCTCTTTGCGTCTGCAATCGACGAATCGATTTGCCACTTTCAGACATTTTCAGACATTTTCAGACATTTTCAGACACTTTCAGACACTTCAGACACTTTCAGAGTTTCAGGCCATCCACGATGAACTGGCGCTGGCCTTTATGCGCCACGGCTTCCCGGTGCTTGATGAGAGCGCGAAGTCTTGGCTGGAGGGAGATGAGCCTCACGACTTCAAGGCGCGAGCGCACTGTATGCGGCATATGCACAGCACATGACGCACTTCGGCTCGTTGAGGCCCATGCGTCCTTCATCAAGGTGTCAAAAGCCTTGGCTCATGCCAAGTCCGAGGGTGAGAAGCACCGCTCTCAGCAACGGTTCTCGGGTTTCCTCAGAATCGCGTGGCCGAGGCGGCAGTTCCGATCCCTTCGTGTGACCTCGGACGACCTGGACGCCTGGCGCGATGTGTTCTTCGGCACCCAAATCTGCACGGAGTTCGAGTTGCTGGACCGGGCTTTACCCAGAGGCTCGCAGGATACGGCATGGTACCAACATGGAAGGAAGGCTGGTGCAGGTACAGCCTGTGCCTTGGCAGGACATGATCGGCTCGAGCCGGGATGGCTACTATCCCTGCTTGCAGCTGGAGTACTTCCACGACCGAACCATTGTGGTGAGTGAGCCCAGCCTTGAAATCAGCCTGGCGGCAGGCCCCTCAAGTCAGCCATCATGTGATTTCAGCTATTTCATGTAGTTTTCATGTAGTGACGTGCATCCCGACTTCCACTTCGTCACTTCGTCTCATGCGAGACGCGAGTGCGATGCAGGCCCGGTCCGCACGGCGCAGCTGCGGGTGGACCAGCACGCGGGCGCAGGCCTTCAGCTCTCGGCCTGCGAGGCTTGCGCGCGAGAAACGGCCACGACTTCCCCTAGCGTGTTCAACCGACTCAACCGACCGCCTGCCTGGGAAGACTTGTTTCTACTTTTCAACCAATCTCACACTGATAAGTCAAGCGATGTCTGAGACTTGCAGGCCGGATACTTGGTGGAGGAGTTGGAGCAGTGGCCCGGCCAGCCCGACATCCGCGCGCAAGATGTAATCGTGGCAGCTGGGGAGGCCGGGCACCGGGCCACGTGCGCTGGGGATGTGCATGGTGTTGTGGTCCCTCTGCAAAAGTAAGTTGGCTGCTTTTTCTTGAAGCCCCATCTCTGGCAAGCGCTGGGGTGCGTTGTGCTGAAAAGGAGATGTTCATAGACGGTATATGTTGACAAAAGCGTTGCAACGAGTCAGGCGCTGCTTATCGGCTTAGAGGAATCCAAGATGGAGGAGGAGTTCCGGCAATGCTTCAACAATGGTGCCTCAAGACAAAAGTCGACACGACTCTACACGTTTGGCCACATGCGGGTCTGAAGCAGGCATGTCCTTGGCGGAAGTTGGAAGGGGTCGAAAGCGAGCATGCGTGAAGCGCATGGCAACACAGCACGTAGTGCCCAAAAAGATGCAGAAAAGTGCCTCGTAGCATGCTGAAGAGGTTGAAATGGAAGCTTGGAACTTGAGAGAGAGTCTGAGAGTCTGAGAGTCTGGAGATGTCTGGAGATGTCTTTAGGTGCGCTGCTGGTGGGAGCCTTGGAGATTCGGCGCATGGATTTGGACCAAGTCCGGCGCTGCACGCGCCTGCGGCCCTGGGACGATGGCTCGGGCACCGGCTCGGTGCTCGTGCGCTCCGTGCCGCGCGGCAAGCGCCGGCTCCGCCTGTCTGCGGAGTACCGGCCCGACCCCCTCAACCAGCCAGGAGAGGGAGGGATGAGATGGGATGAGGGCTGAAGGATGATAGAGAGTGATGCGAGTCGAGCGAGGAGAGCGGAGCCAGGGAAAGAGCGGCACTCGAAAGGTTGGGAGACGCTTGAAACTTCCGTCCTCAAGCTCGATAGCCGGCGAATTCGAAGGAGACCCATGGGCCAATGCAGCTGCGGCGGGGTACCTCTACCCGAAATACACGGGTTGGGGAACCAAGTTCCAGAAGAGGAAAGCGACGGTGGTCGACTCCTCACGCTTCCTCAAGCCCAAAATGGTGGAACCCGACGAGCGCGGCTTCTTCGAGAGCAAAGAACTCACGAAGGTGCACCAGCGACTCAACCAGACCATACGCCGAGCGGGTAGCCAGGAGAGAGAGAGAGAGAGAGAGAGAGAGAGAGAGAGAGAGAGAGAGAGAGAGTGGGAGAGAGTGGGAGAGAGAGAGAGAGAGACGTCATTGAATTGGAGTGGTCCCTATTATGGCCGCGTGTGCAGGAGAAGCTCTTGAGGGTTCTCCACGAGGAGAAAGCTATGCTTAGCTCCTTGGAGCAATGTGCACAGCACACGCTGCACGCTGCACACTGCACTACACGATGGCGAGGCAGCTCCAACCGCGTTGCAGCCATCACTCGGCTGGCATCCCTTGTGAAGACGGCTCCACACGACCCACGCCTGGAGGGGCTGTTGAAGGAGTGCCGAGCGTGCGTCCCGCCGAGTGCCACTCGTCGATTCCCGCATGAAGGACCTTCTGGAGGACCTAGAGGCCGCTGACGAGGCGGAAATGGCGCAGCCCCCACCTTTGCTGGCGCGCCCCGGCCCAATTTTTCCTTCGGTCTCAGAAAGATTGGGTCTCAAGGTGCTTTTGTGATTTTTCAGATTTTGATGTGCATAATATGGCTATGGTTGCAGCTTGAGCGGGCCCTTGTCGAAGGAGCTTGGCGCTGGGCCTGGCGCATTTGGGGCTGCGGGCGCCGGAGCCGTTTCGGGTCATCGCGCAGCTCGCGCGGCGCGGGGGGCTGTGGAGCTTCGCGGACGCGGAGGCGGCGGCCTTGCTCGAGGGCTTCTCCCGCGCCCGGCGCTGCGACGAGGTCCTCTTCCAGGAGGCCGACAGAGTTTTCCCTGATCCGAGTGCCGAAAACCGCGATGTGATTTGCAATCAGTGAAACCGACGGGTCGTGAGGGAGGGCGCCTGATCATGGCGCGCATGGACCGCATGGAGCCCCGGTTGCTGACCACCATGATGACGGCCTTCGCCTGTGCGAACATCGCCGCTCGCCGAGTGAAGCGGCTTCCTTTTGAGAGCGGCAATAGCCCAGGCGACCGAGACGCTTTTCTTCGTTAGCGCCTCAGAACAGACTTGACATTTCCCCTCACTTGCCATGTCGGACTCTTGTGCGCTTTAGCTTTGCTGGAAGCCCTCCCTCGAGCTCTCGAAGCTCTCTGAGTCACTGAGGCAGTGGGGGACACGGTGCTGCGTCGCGAGCGGGAGGGCGGCTTCACCTTGCGGCACCTGGCGGAGCTGGCGGACGCCTTCGCGCGGGTCCGCGCGCGGCACCCGCTGCTGCTGGACCTGGTGCCCTCGCGCTGCGAGAAGCCCGTCTCCTCCGTGGAGGCAAGAAAGAAGGGAAAGAGCGTTTCAAAGAGGGAAGAAGAGGGGAGAAGAAGAGAGAGCATAGGAAAGCCACATAAATGGCAATAGCAATGGCATGAATGGCATGAATGGCATGAATGGCATGAATGGCTCGTTGAGTCACTGAGGCCCTGGTGCAGCTCTTCTCGGCGTACGTGGACGCGCGGCAGGGCTTTGGGCCCGCGGAGCTCCGGGAGCGGCTCTTGGCCCAGCTGCTGCGCCGCGAGCTCAGCGCGGCGCAGATTCGGCGCCTGCTGCAGGCCGCCGCCCGCGCCCGGTGGCGCCTCGGAACGAGAAGACAAAGAACAGCTTAACGAGAAAGCAGCGACTGGTCCCCGGAAGAAAGCAAGTTGACAGAAGAGAGACGGAGATTTGTCTTTAATATTTGAGAGGTGTAAACGACGAAAGCTCGGAAGTCGGATAGGGAAAGTCAGGAACTGAAGCAAGTGCATTTTCTCCAAGGCCCAGTCACAGCTTGTTGGAGCTGGCGGCTTCCGTGCGCGATACCTCAGAGGTGGACGCCGTCTTCGACTGCTTCCTGCAGCTGCGGGTGACGCCACCCGACGACTTCCCCATCAGCGAGGAGAAGCGGCGGCACCGCGAGGACCGGCTGCAGGCGCGCCAGGCGCGCCAGCAGCGGCGGAAGGAGAAGGAGAGCGACCAGAAGGGCGAGAAGGAGGAGAAAGCGTGTTGTCCGGAATCAGAAAACCATGAAAAGCATGGAGGCATGAGCCATGACGCAATTTTGACGCAGGAGCCCCTGCCGTCGCTTCGCTCATGCCAATTGCGGGTGGAACCGGACCTGGGCGCCGGCTTAGCCGGAGCCCCGGGCCTTGCTTGGCTTTCCGGGCTATCCCAGAAGTCTGCCAGGAGCTGGAAGTTTGCGGCGCAGGACGGGCATCGCTGCCGGGGCTAAAGAGACAAACGGCGAAACAAGGTCGCTGGAGCTGGCGACATGTGAGTGCCAGGCTACGTGGTGGACGACTGCCAGCACGCACAAGACCTTAAGCCAGGGGACGTGATCGTGGCCATTGCTGGACGCCTCTTGGTGGGTTTGGATGAGGACCAGGTGGAGGAGCACTTCGGAGCTGCTTTCTGCGATGGCGCTCCCTTACTGGTGGGTTCCTTCGATCAACTGCAGCACTTTTCCCTGGAAAGCATTCGGACGGCTGCACTGGCGATCCCGGTGCCGGAGCCCCAAGAACCCCCGTTGCCAAAGCCGGTGGCAGAGATCCAATCCGAGCTGGCCGCAACGCGGCCAACGCAACCGATCGGGACATCAGAACCGGAAATAGACAGAGGCAACCCAACGGTGGCCACAAGTACAGAGCCCCCCGAGACAAAGCGCTCGTCAAATTCGGTCCAAGCCGAACAGCGTCATGAAGCGAAGTCCTACCAGCCCCGCTCTGGCAAAGGCAATGGGAAAGGACTGCCATGGAATTGGGTTGTGGAGTTGCCTTTCTATGACGTGAGGACAGCGCGTGTGGCGGCCAAAAGCTTCCTGACGGGCTCGCCGGATGTACATAGCGCCCCGAAAAAGGCGCCTCAAGCCTCGGTTTGGTGCGACGCGCCAAACCGCACGTGGCGTTGCCCAGGCACGGTGTCCACGATCCCTGCAGGCCGAGATGTGAAGTGTTTTGCTGTTTTGCTGTTTTGGTGTGTTGGTGGTGTGGCGTATTCCTGGCGTTTGACTTTTGCATGAGAAGTGGACAGACGGACAGGGCTGCGGCCGGCGAAGTGCATCGGCGACAGCTTCCCAGACGGCATCCGCCTGCCGCTCTTCGGACAGGAGAGGGCGAGAAGAGATGGCCAGAGTAGCCGCGTGAGGGAAGTCGGAGGGGAAGTGTGGGATGCAGTCAGGACGCACCAGTTCCCATTTGGACGACACTTGGGGACGCTCCCTGGCTGGAAAGGCACCGGTGCCCGGTGCCGAAGATTCAGGAGCACAAGGCGCGAGCGCCCGGAGCATGTGATTTTCGCACAGGAGGAAAGCCCTTGGCTGCGGGTCAACGACCCTACGCTGACGCCTCACAGCCCGTGACTTCAGCCCAGCCGACACATCCAAGGCATCCCTTGCACCAGAGCTTCAGTCGCAAGTCAAGGCAACTGCAAAGCGCCAAGACAAACTCCTTGCCCCGGATTCCCGTGTGGCTTTGTGCCTTTGTGCAGGACAAGCCAAGCGGTTGCCTCTGGAAAAGACCAGCTGTCCATAGATTGCAGCATGAGATTCGGGGGATTGAGGCGGACGTGCACGAAGGAAGCGAGCCTTAGCGGCTCGCGACCGAGAGGAGATACTACAGCCTTGCCCCAGCCATGCACCAAGGTTGGGATCACGCTGCGCTTGGAGAGGGCCTTTGTCAATGTGTACAGAGCTAGGCTTTGCTAGGCTTGAAGGAGAGTCCGGCATTGTTGGCCAAAAGACCCAGCGCTTCGCCTTTGTTGCAGCATTGGGCTGCAAGCTGAGCAATGATTTGCAAACATGACATTTGCAGCGCCCTCTCTGAAGCTGCGCCATAAACTCCAACCGGCGAGAAATCGAGAAAGCACATCAGGCGAAGAATTGAGCAGAAGAGAGCGAGAGCGAGAGGGAGCTGCTGAGTGCTAGTTTCATCCAGTTTCATAGAGGCGCATTCTGTGCAGGCAGACCTGAAGGACATGCCCCGAATTTGCTGACCAGCCGCAGGCAGGGCATGCTGTGCAGGACCTCATGCCTGCTGTTTGGCTGCACACCGGCAGAAGACACTTGCTCGACATTGTGCGAGCCGTTTGGGCTTGTCCGTCAAGGCTGTGTCCCTGTCGGCATGATTGGTGCGTGTGGTGCTTGTGGGGAGCCAAGCATGGAGGCAAGGGTGGAAGAGGTTGAGCAAGTCAAGGCCCTGACGGTGGCTGATGACTCTGTGGAGCCCCCAGCCGCCATGAAGCAGAGCACCGAAACACGCGGTGGCTCAGACGTCTCGGCCTCGAAGGTGGCTGATGAGTCCATGGACCCCGGAGCTGCCATGAAGCAGTTCATAGGCAACCGTCGCAGCGAGGCGCAGAATGTGAAGGTCAACATCGCTGACCTGAACCTTCCCCCAGAGGCCAAGGAGGCATTCGACGTCGATGGCGACGGGCAGGTTGACATCGCAGAGATCATTGCGTATGTGAACAAGCACAAGGCCCTGAAGAAGACTTACAACTTTGTCACGAAGGCCTTCTTCCTCACCGTGGTGATGATGATTCTTTTTCTTGTCCTCTGCCTTGCCTCAACAGTCTTGGCCATCCAAATCACCAAGGAGGTGACAGTCAGCAACGGCGCACTCACTGCGACCTCCGCGACATGCGTCAATGGGTCCGAGACTTGCACCAAGCCCGTGGCAACAGGGCCCACCAAGCGGGAGTCCCACACATTGACATCCACCATGCCAGAGAGCGTCTTTGAAGAGTTGAAATCCATCTCGTTGAAGCTTCCCCATCAGAATGGCAAGCTGGTTTCAGTGACACTGGACGTGTCCAGCTTCGAGCGCCGCTTTGTGCCAACCAGCCGCTGCGGAAGCGTGGTTGACCTTGAGACCATCCACGGAACCATCATGCTAGACGACAACCAGCTGCTGGTGACTGAGGAGTTCGTGGAGAAGATGAACGAGCGAGGTTATGATCTTCAAGATGATGTCCCGATTTCCGTGGATGGTGGAAGGCGGAACAATAAATCTTAAACCGTGCGTAGCCGATTCGTAAACCAAAGTCAGCCGATTCAGAAGCCACTTTGTGGCCACTTCTGCAACCCAAACTTGCCGATTCAGAAGCCCAACTATGCTGAAGATGCTCTTGGTTTAAGGACTGGGGGATTGGGGGATTGGGGTCAGGAGTGGCATTACCTGGGAAAATCAAGCTTAGGCGCTTCACTGTCCCTTGGGGTAAGGGTAGGTTCTCCGTTTCACGTTCTTTGGCTTCTGAAGCCTGGATCTTCCAATCAGCGCTTGGTTCGCTTGCTTCGGTTTCCGAATGTCTTGCCTTGGAGGCGCCTGAGCGTTGGCTCGGACATTGCTGGCATGTTCAACTTCATCGCAGAGTACGAGTATAAGTGTGAGAGCCAGGTCAAGCCGCTTCGGATGCTGGACCCGCCCTTTGCTTTCACCCTTGAGACGTACCAGATGTGTGAAGGCTCTACGTGCTATTCAGACGTGGAGACATTAAGTGGCAATGGCTCCAATGGCTCGCTCAAACTGCCTGGCTTCGCCCGAGACCCGCATGCGCTTGAGACATTTGTGCCCGGCGGATTCATCAAAGCCAAGGAGTCCGTCTATGCCATGGCCAGTGACAAGATTCTGACAATACAGGAGTGGCCGAACTACCCCATGATGTCCCTGATCTCCATGCACGATTTTGCCATGGGCATGTTCACCCAGAAGCAGGTCTTCAATGAGACCCCAACTTATTGCAGCTCACGAGAATCAAAAGATGAGGAGAACACCGTGGCCAACATGGCAGATTTTGTCATCGCAGCCATCGGAACCACATCGTACAAGAGTGATCCAGATCTCAAGTTCAACCGCTACCTTTTGTACCACAAGGAACATCCAAACAAGGTGGAGGCTTACGTGGAATTCTGGGAGGAGGTGGACACCGGCATGCCTCACAAGTATTTCCTGCCAAACATGGAGAACAGCCCGCGGGCTTACTTCACCAGCTTCCGGAACATCTCGCAGGATGAGTTCGACGCTGTTGAAGCACGTCTCAGTCGACTGGACTGCCATGGCCCTCAGATCTATGGCTTGGTCACCCCGATCATGGACGCAGATGACACAACACCTGCACATGAGAACATGAGTACTCTGGAGTTCTACCGAGCCTTGAACTCAATTTGCCTCAACGAAGCATGCCAGGTCTCATTTGGTGACGATGACTACTGGAATGTCATTCTGTCCCTGGACGCTCTCTTCAGGAATCGAACGGAAGACGTCGAGTCTGATGCGCCGGATGGCGCCAATGCTACACGGAGACTGGCTTCCTCCATTGGTGTTTGCTTGACGGATTGCAAATCTTTGCTGGCCAACGGCTGGTCCTACCAGAGAAGCTCGTCTAAGGACAAGGACTTCTTCGGCATAGTTAAGTTCGCCTACGACACGGGCACATGGACGAAGGGTTCTTCGAACCCTCCCATGGCGTACTCAAGTTTCAAAGGGTCAGCTCAGGCAGGGTTCTCTTACAACGTGCCGCCTGTGTACATCAGCGTAAGAGCACACGGCGCTGCTCAAGGTGAGGTGACGGTGCGGGGGTCAGATGGGAAGGTGTTTAGCAGGTACTCTGGCTCAGTTACCCTGAGCTTTGAAGGGGGCCTCAATATCATCATCGGCCAAGTGACTCTTGGGATATCTGGCACAATCAGCTTTGAGCAGGCCTCGAACCCTACCAGCACACCGGCCATGGATGTCGCTGGCACAATTCGTGGAGGGATCACAATCAAAGTGCTGGGTGGTTTCGTCACGGCATCAGCGAGTGTTGGGCTGCAAGCCAGATTCTGGAATCTTGGGCCCACCTTTGAGGGCAATGACGCCAATGACGACGAGTTTGCTGTTGCAGGCAAAGTACGTTTCAAAGCAACTATCTTCTGGTTCTTCAAAATGAGCTTTTCGGCCAAGATGGACATTGTGAAGAGGCGTAAGCTTTGGAGCCAGACAGACTTGATGGGCGGCTATGATCCAGCATCAATCGGGCTGAATTGCGTGGAAATCAGCAAGCATGATAGGGACTGCAGTGGCACGGTCCAGTTTCGGAAGTTTTGCCCCATGAACGAGGAGTACAGCTATGATGACCCTGTGAACATGCAAAACTGTCCATACCATTACAACACCTATGACAAGTCGAAAGGGTCTATGATCTTCAGGCATACCAACGCCGCATTCTTCAAGAGTGGGGTTCTTTCTCGCGACGATGCGCCAGAAGATGTGACGTGGCTCTGCAGCAGTACTGGTAAGTCTCGAGATTGGGGGTTCCGCCGCCGCGACGGCCGACGGCGCTGGGCCAAATTTGCAATGGCCAATCGCTTTGTGATCTTTGGAGACGAGAAGAACCTCGGAATGGTCGCCTACAACTGCCAGTACTGAGGGCTGGAGACACAGCCGGACACTTACGGCGGGAATGCGCACAGCGTTCAATGGTGAGGCCAAGGTAGAGAGATGACAGTTGTGGTTCATTGGCTGTTGCGAGCGTGTTGAATTTGGTTGCTTACTGTCCCTCTCCCAATAGCCGCCAAAGGTAGGAATTTGCCCTGTTTGCCAAATGATCAAATGATGTTGCTGGTGAGAATTGTGCCTCTTTGCGGAGCTTTGGCAAGCTGGACGAGAATTAGCAGGAATCGGAGACTAGTGCCATGTGTTGTCTCACTCCCGGAGTTCCGGACGTTGTGACTTGTGACAGGCGAACTCTTGGGCAATCTCCGGACGCGAGTTTCTTCTGAGAGCTCTCCATTTGGACGTCCGGGACTTGCAGGGTGGCACTTCTTTCTGCCTGGTTTCTTTTCGCCGGCTGTGCATTTGTCCACGCTCCGCGGCCTTCGGAGTGCCGGTTCTTTGCCGGACAGGATTCAGCGATACATTGCCTGTCGACTGGACATAGCGCACCAAGAGGGCAAGAAAAGACTCCATGTGCATGCTGACATTGGGCTGTGCAAGTAGTGGCTCTCACACGCACCCCTGCCAAGGCGCAGGATGTACGAGTTTCCCAGGCAGGCGTTGTTGGAAACCCAGCCTGGCGCAATGCCATTGGGCGCGCTCCCTATCATTAGAAAGCCCCGCCCCAAATTGGAATTCCTTTGGCGCTGGGTTAAGGCTAGGACAGGTCTCAACAATCCATAAAGGTTGGGAACCTAATGGGATTTGAGATGGGTCACAATCACACAGGTATTTGCAGTGACAGGAAAGAGGCTCTTGTCTCGAGAGCAGCTGAGAACGAACACATTTTTCCTTTTGCCGGACACCAAGAAGATCTTCATCTTTCATGCGCGCTGACGGCTCAATGGTTTGAGTTCCGTTTGCGGCAAGCAATACGCCCTACCCGAGGTTCAGCTATTTCAGCTTTAAGATTCTTAATGTAAGATGTTTCTGGCGGTGGCAATTTTGCCCTTCCAACGGCTGGGCGATTGACGTGCAAAAGCGCCGCTTTGGTGGCTATCCTTTGGGCTCTACTGCTTCAGGTAGGTGCCCTTAAGCTACGCCCGATAAAGATGTGCCTACAGAGGCTGGGCATTGGGTCATACACATATATATATATATATATCTATATAGATAATATGTAGCACATGTATGGTCACCCCTGCATGATCTACCCCCACTTCCTTGAAAAAAGACACAACATACGTTTTCCTTGGCTTGTTGCTGCTTTGATTGTTTTGCAGCAGTTCGTTCCAAACCAAATTATTGTCAGAAAGCCAGGCTAGCTCTAGTGATCTACCTACAGGAATTAGTCAGAGCATAGCTTTAGAGCCTCCGGCTCAGTCCGCCGACATTGTCCTCTCCCTTTTCTCCTTCTTCCTCTCTTCCTTGTCTCCCTTGTGTGTTCTGTCGTCCTCTCTCCCTCCCTCTGCTCCCATCCTCCCCATCCCCCCAAGCCTCTCTCTCCCCACTCTCCCTCTCTCGTATGTATGCATGCATGTACATATGTATGTATGTATGTATGTATGTATGTATGTATGTATGTATGTATGTATGTATGTATGTATGTATGTATGTATGTATGTATGTATGTATGTATGTATGTATGTATGTATGTATGTATGTATGTATGTATGTATGTATGTATGTATGTATGTATGTATGTATGTATGTATGTATGTATGTATGTATGTATGTATGTGTATGTATGTATGTATGTATGTATGTATGTATGTATGTATGTATGTATGTATGTATGTATGTATGTATGTATGTATGTATGTATGTATGTATGTATGTATGTATGTATGTATGTATGTATGTATGTATGTATGTATGTATGTATGTATGTATGTATGTATGTATGTATGTATGTATGTATGTATGTATGTATGTATGTATGTATGTATGTATGTATGTATGTATGTATGTATGTATGTATGTATGTATGTATGTATGTATGTATGTATGTATGTATGTATGTATGTATGTATGTATGTATGTGTATGTATGTATGTATGTATGTATGTATGTATGTATGTATGTACTGTATGTAATGTATGTATTGCAGATCTTGGCATTCTCATGCATGATTTTGTCATTGCAGCCATAGGCATTAGGCTTTGGTAAGTGAGCTACTTTTGCTTGAGGTTGCATGAGTGGACATGTCTTGCAAGTTGACATGTCCACCTTGAGGAAGTTGGAGTGGCGTGCCTATTTTGGCTCAAGCCACATGCGCACGGTGAATGAGTGCGCTGCCTGTGAAAACAACGAGCCGCTTCGCGGGTGTGCCAGAGAGTCGGGACACGGGTGAGACGTGGATTCTGGGTTAGTCCTTGGTTAGGATTAACGCCTCTCACAGTTGGGGGCTGTTCTGGGAAAACTGAACTCCCTGACCCTTGTAAGCACACCGCGGTAAAAGGCTTGTGTGGGCAGCCTCTACTGAAGGATGAGCCAGGAAGTTTCAGGCGAAGAACTTGGTGTCACTCTGCTTGACTGCATCAGAGATGGAAGGGTACCAAGGCCTGAGGAAATGAGCTTCCCGGCTTGGCAGCGCTGGAGGAAGCGTGAAGGTCGTCGACCGACCCGCCGGCAGGATGGCCGCGGAATGTCTACGGTCGAAGAAGTAGCTCTTTGGAGAGCCGTGACGGCGGAGCTATATGGGGAAGACCGAATTGAGGACCTTGAAGAAGAAGAAGAACAAGATGAAGAAGAAGAGCCGGAAGCCAGACCAAGGCTGAGGCCGATCCCAGCTCTTATGGGGCCAGCAGAGCCTGACGTTGGGACTCGGCCGTCGCCGCGACCAGTGGGGTTTGCGGGCGAGGCCCCGGGTGAGCAAGCCCGGCCGGCTATCAGAGATGAAGGTGGAAGAGGGGAGGAGAAGGGCAGAGCTAGCCCGGCTCCCTCTTCGGGATACACCGGTGTCTCCATGTCGGAGATGCAAAGGAAGCTGTTCGCACTTCATGATCCGAGGTATGAGAGCATCGCGGCCTATCGGGCGCGGGCCGAACGGATCTCCCATGCGTTAGAAGTGCTGGGACAAGAAGTGGGACCGGCTGACCTGCGGTCAGTCATCATGAAGGCAGAGTTGATACAAGAAGGATACGAAGCTCTGGGTGACTTTGACCCTAGGACCATGGTTGGTCACTTGAGGGAACAGTTCATCATGCTGGCCAACGATGACACGAAGGAGCCAGAGGAGAAAGGACTCACGACGGTCGCGATCGCGGAGTTGATCCAGGACTTGGGAGGCCGAGTGAGTACGGCTCCTGACAAAGTGTTCTCTACTCCATCCGACGAGCTCCATGATGACCGGAATAGAGGTTCGAAGCGGAGCCGTGAACCCACCGATGGAGACGAAGGCGTTGTAGCCTTGAGATCCAAGATGGTGGCAATGCAGATGGAGCTGGAGTCCCTGAAGAAGGACAAGGACAAGGACAGGGCGGCCTCAGAGGCGTCCTCTCCTGAGAAAGAGCTCGCGAACGCGCTGGAGCATCAAACAGCGGCCTTGATGAAGGCGCTGGAGGGCCGTAATCAATCGCAAGTTATGTCGGTAAAAACAGACTTGCAATGGCCCACGCTTGGGGATGAAAGGAGCGACTCTAAGGACGTGTCCGAGTTCTACGACCATTTCGAGGACAACTGTGGTCTCGCGAACTCCTGCAAGGGCATGAACTATCGGGAGATGCTGCTTGCGCTGAGATCTCGGTGCAGGGGGTCTCGCCTCAAGACGTTCACGAACCTCTATAAGTCGGCCTACCGAGCCGGCGAGATAGAGGAAGACCCGGAAAAGGTGTACAAGCGGATCAAGGCGAAGCATCTCTTGTTCACGGAGAGCCCGGAGGAAAGGGAGATACGAGTTGACGCAGAGCACGTAGCTTTGGCGAAAGGGAAGATGACAGGGCACCAGTTCGAACCGCTTTTTGAGGCGAGCGTCACGGAGCTGGAGACAGTTGGCCTGGGTAAGAGTAAGAGGGAGCTGTACCTGTCGTATCTTCGCAAGATGCCTGCGCACCTGCAGAAAGAGATCCGGAGTGACAAGAGGTTGTGGGCTGGTGAGACCCAGCTGAGAGGACCTCAGACATGGGAGGAGGCTCATCGAGTGGTTCTGGAGGTCGAGCAGCGAGAAGCCACTCATCGGGCGACTGCGAATGCTGTCTACTCCACGGAGACGGAGAGGCAACAGCAACCTCCGAAGAAGGAGCCAAAGAAACCGAAGGAGCCAAAGGCGCCGAAGCAGCAGGTTTTGGCGGCCACGGAAGGCACGAACGGCAAGAAGCTGTGTTTCCACTACAGGGATCATGGAACCTGTCCGTGGGGAGACAAGTGCCACTACTCCCACGACAAGGAGCTTCGGAAAAAGGCGCTGGCGGAGAAGAAGCAGCACGCGGAGAGCGGATCAGTTCTCGCGGCTAAGGGCGAAGGAAAGGGCAAGGGGGACCAGAAAGGGAAAGGTAAGGGAACCGGAAAAGGAAAAGGAGATTCTAAAGGGAAGAGCGGTTCCAAGGGCAAGTATGATGGAAAGAGTAAGAAGGAAGTCCTCTGCCCTTTCTTCCGGAAGAACGGCGCCTGCAAGAAGGGGTCCGGGTGCGATATGCTGCACGCGCTCGTGATCGGCGAAGAGACCGGAAGGACGCAAGGAGTCGCGACTCAGCAGTCTTTGGCAATGGGGCCGAAGCCGGATGCGAGCTCCCTGATCAACCCGTTCGCTGCACTTAGCGTGACGATCGGAGAGTACAGTAACTCAGAAGTGATCTCTGGCGGAGTGTTGAAGACGTCGCCGAGCAACGGCGGCGGAGGTCCAGGGATCGCGGAGCTTGACGATCTGCCGAAAGATTGGTGGGAGGTCGTCCAGAACGAGTCCGGAGGGTACCAGTACCGGACCGTGGTGAAGATCCTGGGGAAGCAGGTGGAATGTATGTTGGATGGAGGTGCCGGTGCCAATCACATCACGG